GTGTGTGTGTGTTGTGTAATAATAAATTCATTGCAAACAATTTATAAACAGTGTCACATATGTAAAAATATATTTCAGAGGGCGTGATAATTCTGTTTTCAATCGTGTAGTCTCAACAAATAACAAAGGTCCGTCCACAAACCTCATCGTCTCCTTTTTTTTTTCCTATATTCCCCGGACATTTTTTACTTGATATAAATTTTTCCAGTTCGTTGAGACGTTTAGACACGCCCAATAAAGTAACAGCAACGACATAACCCAATGTTTCGTAGTCTATAAATAATTTATCGATAATTAATAAATAATTAAACATATGTAAAAGTCGTTTGTTATTTTCCTTCGTTTTTTCTTTTCTCTTGTATCTTTTCAAAATATCCCTTATATGTTAAATTATCCCTTTAGTTGAAACTTTACAAAGTGATAGAATATTTTAATGATCTAAATAACAAGTTACTTAATAAAGAAAGGCCGTATATTACACGTTGCAAGGAATGTATAGGACGTTAATTGGGAGGGGGGTAGATTAAAGACGTCTGATTTCCCGTACAGTTCCGTGAATTAAACGAACGCTCCATAGAAAGCGACAAAAAAAATCAAGAAATTGCAACGTTCTCTTCTCTTTATCTCTCTATACGTATACGTGTACATACTAGCGTCGACACAATTTCTCGTGTTTTATTTAAGTTATTTTGATTCTTAGCAAAACCGAACGCTTTTCGTCATTCTCTTATTTTTTTGTTCTTTCTCTCAATGAATAAAGCCACGCATGATTACAACATCACGAATAAGGGTGCCACTAGAATACAAAAAGCTGGCAAATATATTCGCATGTAATATATAGAAGCAATAATATAAGAATTAGTGATATGATTATTAGTAGCTCGTTCTTTCTTTTTCTTTTTTCATCTACTAGGTGATTGATAAACTATTCTCTCGTAATCGAAACAAAACGAAATATGATGTACACGTCATTATGTTAGATAATACAGTGACACATACATACATACACACGCACGCACACATACGTATCGTGTGTTAATCGGATTTAAAATACTGTTACGGAGAAAGAAAGAAAGGTGTGATTATTTCCAAAAAAAAATAGAAAATCCTCGGAGAAACACTTGTTAGAAGCTGAATCCGTGAATATTAACGGTGTTTTATAGACATTTGATAGTTTCCTCGCGGCAAGAAAAACATGCACGAATATTATACTATAAAGACGAAACACGAGGCATTCAAAAACGGAAAAAAACGAAAAAAAAAATAGAAACAGAAATAGGTTGATGCACTCTGCATGTGGATACTCTAACTTTGTTCTTTTTCTCTCTCTCTCTCTCTCTCTCTCTCTCTCTCTCTCGATGCAAGAATCGAGTTTCACTATGGAACATTATAATTTGCATGTTTCATACGTAATGCATCGAAGCTAAGACGATTTATCGGTTTACTGAGCGGTAAAACGTCAGGGTACCTGAAGGGAGAATAAATCCTTGAGTGTGTGGCGTAATCGCTTTAATAGCGTGGTTGATTAGCAGCGTTTGCCATTTGGGCGCGGAAAGCATTGGTAGTGACATTGCTCGCCGCGGTCTGCACGTGTTCGTTGCGCAAGAAAGTCGTGGCGAATTCCTGTTGCGCCTTGGAAACGCTCGCTTCCGTCAAGCGATAAATGCGATGAATCTGTCGAGTGTATGCACATCGCGGGATATTTCATTGCTTGTGAAAATATTCGTGAAAGAAAAAAAGAGGAATAAAAATTCGACACTTTACCTTGGTTAACAGTAACAGATCACCGAACGCGGCAAGAACGAAACAGATGGCAATAAAGAGCAAGAGAAGGCCAACGATCACTCCTTTAGCTGACGAGGAGAACATCGTGATGGCCATTATGATACCGCTGAAAAGAAACTCGACAGATTAGGATAGAATTGTTAAGATTCGTTCGATGCTCGAGTTATTGTAATATT